AGGAGCATGTGTGCTACCTTGCTGTAAAGTGCAGTTGGGGAAAAAAAAAAAAAAGCAGTGGTAATTACAGATTGTCAGTGTAAGTGCCACCAGCATGAAAGGCCACTGGGAGCTGAAATCAGGCTCAAAGGGAGCTTGGGGAGCATTTAATGCCAGAGCATGGCCATCAGCTCAGAATCTATATTATTAATGTGAGCTGCGATATTTCTAAGATTGCATTTAAATAAATGGAGCAAACCAAAATGGCATTTATACTGAAAGGAGACACCAGGAGAGAGTAAGTAGCTAATAAAGAGCAGCGCAGATTGGGCATTCAATATGTGGTGGAAGTTCCACATCCTTCCTGGAAGGAGCTGTTTGCAGTCCTTTGGCAGTATTTTCTATCATATTAGTTCTGTCTCTGAATTCACCTGGGCTCTGTTCTTGTACACTAACCCCAATTGTGCTCCAGGGTGTTCCTGCAGTTATAGCGTAAAGGATGACCTCTTGTATCCAGCACCTTTTTGCATGGGTGGAGTGGAGAGCAGCTCTCCGTGAACCTTCAGCTTGTGCTTCTCCATGCTGCTTCCTCTCAACGCTCTTCTCTCTTTGGCGCTGCCTAACTCTGACTCTGGCTGTTCATGGGGTTTTCCTTTGTGCTTGATCTAACCATGTGGTAGAACAATACAAATTGAACATGGTTCTGTCAAGCACCATGGAAGGCTGCATACTCCCTGCCGCATGGCATGCTGGGATACTTCTGCTGGTTTCAGAAGCATCAAAAGGTGAGAGATTCCCCTTTTCTCACAGGAAAAATGAAAAAGGTGAAGTGTTGCTTACCCAGACTCCCGGGCACTGCAGGGGGGAGCCCTAGTGATATTTGCAACAGACTTTCCAGAGGGCTTGCATGCACAATAACCATTTCTAAGTAATTAATCTGTTTAATTGCTCTTGGAATGAAGAAGTTAGGCATCCTGTTGATTAATATGATTCAAGGGTGATTCCAGCCATACCTACAAAGATGAAAAATATTTTTTGTCTTCTTACCTTATAAATAATGTAAGCTACATCTCTCTATTTGAGCTGTCCAGTGAGTCCTTCTACTTGAGGTACACTCTGGATGCCGCTTCTGTAACAAGATGCCTGCTACTTAACATAACTTTGGACCTGATCTGAGCAATCTTAATGTGCTGGCATTTCATTATGAATATAATGAAGTATACTGCAAAAGAACTTCAGAAAAGACTGCAAAGCATTATCTTTTATCTCTTGAAATGACATGGGTAACGTGGCCTGTATGAAAACAGTATTATCCAATAGTTACATAGCACAAAGCTGAGTCAGCATATGCAAATGGGCCGTTTTAGCTTTGACAGCTTAGATAAGATCTTTAACATACTTCTGCCTAACTTCCCCCCTATGTAAAGTAGAGATAATTACACCTATTCATAAAAGACTTTGAGAGCCTCCTACAGAAGTTTTCTTATACAGAAATACTGCCTCATCTTGCAAATTTGTTAACGTATCTGTTGTGGAGCCATCAGAAGAAGGACATCTGAGGTTCTTAGATTTTCTCTGTAATTAGTGATAAGAATTAATACTACCGATGTGAAATTATGACAAACAATGTACCTCCTTTTTTTCCTGAAAACCTATGAGAATTGTGATCTACTGGTTACATGAAGACGTGAGTGTCGGGATTCCTGGTTTTTTGTCCAAGTTTTAGACCAAGTGATTTCTGTGATCATATTTTTGGTGCCAAATTCGAGGCAGCTGGATCCATCTTTTCTAGAAGAGATGAATGAATATATCAAGCCCCTGTTAAGACAGCTTGATTTTTTCCAGAACAGATCATCCAGCACTCCTTTTAAGTCCTTTGGGCAAAGCTAAGTTTTAAAAACTGAAATCAGGTTTGCTAAGCAATGCTTAAAAAGAATTGGACAAAAAGGTATTTGTGTCTGTTGCTTTATTTCTCCATGTGGGCATTAGAAAGGCACCTAAAATTTTTGAGTACTTGGAAATGTGGTGTTTCTTTATCTCAATACTACTGTTTTGTAGAATGGCATGTGTGTTTGTTTTGTGATACTGAGTAATTGCAATGCCCTGGTACCTGATAGTGGTGTCACATAGGTTGTGAAATGAAAATGTTATCAGAGTAACTAGCAATTCACAAAAACACAGTTGCCTTCAGTTAAACACAGGCCTTGCTGTTGCCTTGGCTACTCATTTTACAGCAAACTTAATTCTTTTTAATTTTGGAAATTACTAGAAACTCCCAGATCATGTTTTACATTCAGCCAAGCTTCACAGAGTTCTCAGCTACAGTGCACACATGCTTTCAGGTATAATAAAATGACCAAATGGCTGGTCTGGAATAGTAAAATGAAGCCAAGTGTTTCTTCTGTGCCTGTCCTGCATCTCTTTTCCATGGCTTTCCACAGGTGATTTTATAGCATGCAAGAAGTACTACATGCATGTGATGGTTAATTGTACTTCCTGAGTCCTGTCATGTTCACTCAGAGCCCTGCAGTAGTACACTGATAAAGCCCTGTGTGTAGAAATGGATATACGCACTTAAATAGTTCTGCAAGCAGATGGCTGAATTTCACATTAGTATCCCAGATGGGAATATCTTAATAGAGCAGCCACCTGTCCAAGTGATCTCAAGGCTCAGGTCAAATAGTAAATTTTATCTAGTTGTTGGCAGGTGAATAATGGATGACTGAGTACTTGCTTAGCATATACATGCTATTGAGAAAGAGAAGTATGAAGGTGGTGTTTGTTCCCTTCCTCTCCTGCTGAGCTGAGAGGGCTTTCCCCTGATGCACGTGTGGAGGCAGTGGACTGATGCCCAGGCAAGATCAACTTCTTATAGCTGATGCAGTGTTGAAAGTCGTATGCCATCAAGAGAGTGAGACTGCTAAGTCAAAATGTGGTAAATATACTTTATTTACTTTGCCAGAAAGCTTGAGAGAAAACCAAAAACTGGTTTTCACCCTCTAATGTTATATACCCCTTTTTCTCCTTCATAAAGCATTCCACTTACTTTCCCATCCTTCTTTTTTCCCATGGGAAGATGAATCTTGTATCTATCAGTAGAATAAAAATTATACTTAATAAATATTTACTCTGCATAACTTCAAACGTTTGTGATTATTCTTTCAAAGAAAGCTTTTACAATGAAAATTTAAAGTGCTTCTTCAAGGGTTAATTTGGGGATTTCCAAGACACTTTCTGGTCACTGAAAAATTTTGCTGGGTTTTTCAAGGCGTACTGTAATTGTGGCAGTTTTAATAAACTCTGGTCCTCATAACTGTTCATCTTTGGCATTATTTCCAAGAAATCATAACCAAAGGTACTGTCTCATATACCTAAGAAAGAAAAGCTATATGTTCTTGTAATCAAGCCATAATATGCTCATCACTTTTCATTTTAGCCTGATTACCAAGCCTGGAATTTTTAGGACTGGAAATCAGATGAGTTTTTTTTTAAAGGATAAGAGTTTAAATGATGGTGGTGTGGGGAAAGGCTTAGAGTGTATTTTTATAATACTTTAAAATGCCCAGTGGTCCTAATATTTTAAGTGCTGTGCGGTCAAGCTAAAAAACAGTAGCCAAGTCTCACTTTAGATGTGTAAATTACAATAAGCATGATAACCTGCAAAGTATTTAGTACCACACAAGTGTAATGTACAAAGCTATATGTGATGTTTTTCATAATCTAGTTCGGAATTACAAAACTAAACTGAAGTGTGTCTGTGGAATCAAAATGTTAGGTTGCCGGCAGAATTGCTTGCTTTCACTGCATCACCCTTGTGGAGGTAATGTGTAACATAAATTAAAATAATAGTGGGTTTAGGTGACTTCTTTTTTCTTACAGAAAATAGTATGAGATCATAAAATGAGCAGTGGTGTATTTATCAGTCTGGGAAGGGGAAGCAGGCAAAGAATGTCATCAAGTTTCTAAAAAAAAATTTCAGCTCAGGTTTAAGTTTCTATTGATGCTTTCAGGTTCTTAAAAGCTGAACTTGCTCAGATCATTCCTGAGAAAGCCTTGCAATTGACTTTTAAAACTCTCGAAAAGTTAAAAAATACCTCTTGGTAGTTATGATCACTGGGCATTACACAAGGTTCCTGAGACAATTCTGGTGCTTCCATTATGAAATACGAAGTGAGGGGGCAGGTATTGCATGGCGGAGTCTTGGCAACACTTTGCTTACATACACATTTATTAATACTCCTGGTTCCTTGAAGCACAGAGATCAAGTTTCCAAGCTGCTGTTATTAAAAGAGAAAAACCAAACCTTAAAAAGACAGATTAGTTCACTGAGCCTAATTGGAAAAGCATTTCATTAGAACGGGTCAAAAACCTAGTCAAAGAGGTCTGGCAATCATGGTATAATGGTACATTAGGGAGTGCTTCTCACTAAGTATGGTCTACCCGTTCCTTAATTAAAATGAAAATGATTTAAACTGCTATTACTTTCCTCTGCTGTTTGTTTAACATAGTTAATAAAGGTATCTAATTGTTGGAAAATTGACAAGGTTCTTTCATAAAAGATTGCTCTCAAAAATAACTCTCAGTAACTGAGGTCTGAAAATTCTGGGCTTTTTAATGACATCTTTAAAAATCCTTTGTCATTTGAATGCACCAAGATAGCTCCTGCTTTCATGAGATTCCTTTTCCTTGTTGCTGGACTAAGTTCCAAATGGGAAGAAATGACTTTGCTGGAGCTCCTTTGAAGCAGACTCCAACAGCTAATTAGACGTGCTTCAAAAAATACCTTAACAGGTAGGCTTGTTAGACAAGGAATTAATCTATCAAGGGAAGAGTGAAAAAACAGAGGCTAGTCTTGGGAGTAATTTGAAAAATTGCTGAACAAAAGTCTTTGGCAAATATTAAAATTGTGTGCAGGAGCTGGAAGCAGACAGGAGGCAGTGTTGAGAATAGATTCCATAAAATCTCTGACTGCTACAGTTATCAAGAGCTGTTTGCTGAAATATATTTTCCTTCTATTGCAGGGTCAGAGGATTACAGAAGTAAATTCACCGGGAAGTGTTTCATGGACCTTGTCTGTCCTGAGAAGTGTCGCTGCGAGGGAACAATTGTAGACTGCTCTAACCAAAAACTCACCCGATTACCCGGTCACCTTCCTGAATATACTACTGATCTGTAAGTGCTGGCTCTCCAAGATGTACTCAGCAGAGTGTGTTGGTTTTCCTAGGTTTTAAAGGCTGTAAAAGGGACTCAGACCAGTTCAAGGCACCTCGTACTTCAATCCCTGTGTGAAAAAGAGGAAGTTAATTTTATTTCAAAGGAGCACCACAACTCTCTCATTTCCTTAGCATTCATGCTAAGGGGGATGGGAAAGAAGCCATGGCCCTGTGCATCAGCTGCCTGTGTGTCCTGAAGTGTTGACCTGTTATGTGGCCCAAGCTGTATGGTTCCTTTCCATTCTACCTTTGAGTCCTTTGTCTTTGCATCTGGTCATTTTTATTTAAGAAATGGATTAATCCTTTTGAGTTAAATCTGTGATCAGGAACTCATTCCATCTCAGCAGTGCCTGCTACTTGGGTGAAATGGCTCTCATTAAAACTAATGTATTGTTAAGCTGTAAGTGATTTTTTGAAATATATTTGCTTTTAGAGATTCTTAGGAATTATAAACATAATGTACTGCTAAAAAGAGTGTGAGAAAACATGTTTATTACTTATTAACTTAAGAATCTTGTTCTTTTGTTATATTAGTAGCCTCTTCAAACACAATTCTCTTTTTGTGTTAGTATTCTATTTATTGTACTTAAGGTATTGTATTTAAACCCCCATAAAAATTGTTGATCTGAAGCTAAGATAAAAAAATGAGACACATCCAGAAACACAGCAAAAATGGAGCTACGTGTAACCAGAGAAAGAATTTTGCATCCCAAGCCTGCCAAGACAGTGGCCTTTGCATTAATTTTGAAGACCAGTAGACTTTGATGGTAAAGGATCTGAAATCAGATCCCTTCTGTTGACATAGATCTCATCTCCAATTGCACGTCTTCTGTAGCAGAATGCATGAGGGAGGTTTAGTCATGCAAACCGGGCTTTTTAATGGTTAAGGTTAATAATCCTGTGCATTGGAAGAAGGCATTCTGACACTGTCCTCTGGTATTACATTCTTAAAGGCATCCTAAGCTTTTTCTATAGATAGTCTTCTATGTTCCCTTTCCTTCAAAGCTGAACTCTTTTCACTCTAGGAGTCTGAGAGAGATGGCAGATAGTGTCTTGCTTAACAAAGGTCATAGTTCTCTGTGTGGCAGCCCTGTATGTCACAGAGATATATCTACAGACACCTGTGAAGTATTAAATGTCTTTTTGTTTGTTCCTATCAGGCGTTTGAATGACAATGATATTTCTGTTTTGGAAGCTATCGGACTCTTCAAGAAATTGCCCAACCTCAGAAAAATGTAAGTTTGAGTCACTTGCTTGTTAGAATACATGCTGCCTTGGATTATAAAGAAGGAGGAAGGGATAATTTTTTTATAGTTTAGTATTGCAGTAGCAGAAATCGCTTTTTTAATGTGAATTTAAGAAAACTGAATGAGTTGCCTGTTAGATGGACAGGCCCAGTTAAACCACAGTGACAGATTAAGATCCCTAGGCTGATATTTCAGTATTCTTTAGGCTGTATTTCTTAAAGCCTTTGACTTGTGGAGACTGAAGGGAGTTCTGTCCCAGAATTTATTCAGATGTATGCTTATTGTTAGAGATGGCTACAAAATTTAGCATTTTGGTTTTGTCTTTTGAACGTATTGCGCACAACTAGAGTGATTGTTTCAAATAGTCAAAGGAAAATAATATTACATGATATAGATTACAAGGCAGCTTCTTTTGATCATTATTGTTTTAGAGAGGAGAATCAATTAGCTAAAACAGTCATTCAAATATATCTGTATAATTTTGTTAACAGTCTGAGTCCTGGCCTTGTACAATGTATATATTTAATAAGAGCTGTGTTTTGGAAAGAGGATAATATGTTAGATACCTCTTGATAGTCTTCTAAATGGATCTTTCTGAAGTTATTGAAAGTTTTAAACCTATGGCCCCATTGCTAATGTCTCATTTAACTGTTTACTTTTAGTAAGATTTTATTGCTAGAGTCAAGGTAATTTAGGGAAACCGGCCAACCAAGCTTTCTGTTCTGCGTTCATTTCACATGGTTTCTGCCATCTGGAGCTTCCTAGCCATTTGAATCCATGTAAGATCTCAGTGGCTTTGGAGATAACTGTAGTGGGATTCTTATGTCCGTTTTATTTCTGCAAGAGTTTCAGATGCAGCAATGCAGATTTGGGAGTAGGGGTTGTGTTTGTGCAAGTACAGCCCACCAGACTTGGAGAACTAATCATATACATTAGTCTAGTATTTTATGAATGATCCATGAGTTGTAGCTACATTGCACTTAGAAAAAGTTGTTGACATTGTTGAAGTGCTCTGTTGTCTATGCAAATAGGTAGTAAATGGGAATGAAAAATGCATGGTGTATAAAAGTGTACACAAATAGGAAAGTGTCTGTCCTCATTAAACCTTAAGAATTTATGTTTTGAAAATTGGAGAGGTGTGATAGCTGGAATAATTTCTTTCATTTTATTTAAAACTTACTGTAGGCAAGTTATGGTGCTGTCCTTCCTGTTCCCATCAATCACTCAGGTGGGAGGGATGCCTCGACAGGGTATAAGTGCAGCATGAAACAGTTATGAGAGTTTTTTTAAGAGTTTGTTTCCTGTAAAACAAAAAATCTTTCTGCTCTGTTCTTGGCAGGCAATGAAAACTGAGGTGTACCGTTGCAGCTCAAACGGATGGCAAAAAGAAGTAGTTGTGTCATACACCTCATAAAAAGTGTCTCTCATATGGATTTTTTTAGTGGCAGCCTCCAAGCAGAGGCTCTTTATATAATCTTTGTAGTTGAGCTAGTTTCTTGTGTTCTACATGATGTTGTAAAGAAGTATCTCAATTGGAATGAAGGGATTTTCTGAAAAGGGTGTTTTTTCATATAAGCGGAGCAACTTTTCAACCATAACCTTACTCAGTAGCTTGATCCTTAAAAAGCCAGATTAGACTTCTAATACCAGGATACCAGGAAAAAACAAACAAGCAAACAAACACCCCTTTCCTTCTGTGTTATTATTTGGCCTTTACTAAGTATCCTTCTGGTAATAATAGGCCTCTTTCCGTCATGTAAAAAGGGAAATGTAAGGAAGTACCAGTGGATAGGATTGCTGCTGCTGCTAATGGCCGTAACGCAGCAGCTCTGTGTGTGTGGCAGAAACTTCATTAAGTCTTACTGCTTACTGCTGCTATTAAATTAAGAAGGAAGACTATTGATCAAACCCCCATTTTTCAGTGTGTATAAGGGACAAGAATTTTTACTGTTATTTGATTGGCAATATTGACTCTGTCTCATCATATTCCTTGTCTGTTCAAGTGTTAAAGGAAAACAGCAGGTGGAGGAATCTGTCTGGAAATTGCATTGCTTCCTAGGCTTAAGAAAACAGTTCAGAGCTTTGCAGTGGCAGGCCATTAGCCTAAATCACCTTTTTTTCTTTTTTTCTTTATTTGGTAATTCTTCTGAAATGAATCTGGATATCTGGAATCAGGATATCTGAATGGGCATTTGAATGATTGCCCTCTCACTGTCTTGCACTTCAGTTTAAGACTAGTGACAGATCTGTGTCAAGGAAATTTGCAAAGAAACTACTTTAAGAGTACCTCAGTTCCACAGTGATTAGTAAAGCTCCAGCATAATTCCAGAGATAGAGGAATAAGCTCTTACTTCCTCTTGATGGGTGTTTCATCTTGATGCCTCCTCATCTTACATTATGCTTAAGTGTAGCTTTGGTTTGTAACATAAACACTCTGAGGTGGTCTGTAAATTGGACTTTAAGAAGGATTCAGATTTTACTTTTGTTCTAAGTGTACGCTCACATTTGTTCTTTTGTCACTCAAGCTCCGTCAGTTGTCCATGTCTGTCTATCACAGTCTCTTGAGTTTTCTAATAAGATTCCAAAGGGAAGTACTCATAGATTTGGCATTGACATATTAGGGTTGCTCCAGTATGTATATGTGAAAATAGTCTTTAATTATATATTCACATAATAATTTGCACTTGGACTCTTGTCTCAGTCCCTTGCTAGGTTCCTCATCTCCTGATTCAGTGTGGTTTCTATGCTCACCGTGTTTTGCCTCAGGGTAAGGCCAGTGTTCTGTCCCTCTTCTCTCTACCTCTCTCTAGCCACTGACAAAACTCCCACTCTTCTCTCTCAGGCTCCCTGCCTAGTCCTCACACACAGTTACTCCACTGCATTGCCTTGAGCTGTTTTTATAGCCTTCACAGATCTCTCTGGGCCCCCGCCTCTATCCAGCCAAGGACATTACTTCTTAATAGTGCCCTGGACTTGGTGGAGTAGATACTTGGATAGAGAAATGTGCCCAGGCCCAAACTTTGCACAGTCTGTAGCTGTGTGTCCTGCACTGTCTTGAGAGACATGGGAAGATGTCATCTGAAGAAGAATCTGAAGTGAAAAAAACTCTGGAAAATTAGCTCCTAAAATTCAAATTTTCCAAAAAATGTCTTGCAGTCTTCTTGGATTGTGGCAGGAATCTTAAATCTCTTTGTTAAAGACTAAGGATTCAGACAAATCCTAAGAGATTTTCACAGGGAAGATGTATCCTTTGAATAAAACACCTACATGGTAGTTACCAATGAACAAATTTGAAATCAGAACTTATTTGAGTGTTTTGGGCTTTTCACAAAAAGATTATCAGAGTTTTGAGATATGAGAGAAATGGTATTTTGGATAGCTTTATTTCCTGGAATAGGTGAATTTCCTTCTTTTATTTAGAAAAGGAAAAATAAAACTAAAAATTATCTACCTCTAAACATGAAAAGGACATCTGACAGTGCATTCTGTTAAATCTTGCCAATGTTATAAAGTAAACATTAAGAAAAATGGGAAGTGTCAGACCACCCTTGCAATAGGTGGTACTGCCAGTCCCACTTCTAATATATAATTAGCTTTTGGGGTGTAATTTGTCTGTAAATATTCCTGCTAAGCTGAATCTTATTGTATGATGCGTCAGCCCAGGATTTAATACATTTTAATGCAAAACAAAATTGAATTTTTGATACAGAAATGTAAAGGTCACAGACCCATAATGCAAAGGTATGCCACATTTTATTTAGGAATTAAATTGCTAAGATTACCCTGCTGGTTTTTAAAAGGTTAACGTGTCTGTATATGACTTTTTGTTTTTAAAAACCATCAAGTTCAATAATTAGCTGCAAAATCCCATATACATAATGCTACTTTCATAACCTAAATTTTAATCCATCTTTATGTTTAATGCTTTTCACAGTAGAATAAAAAGGTTGATGTAGATTCCTGTAGACAGCTCTAACCAGGTCCAGAAGTAATTTACTGGGTTCTCCAGTGGGTTTTGCAAAATGCCTTGAACTCTCTGTTGCTTTCATTGCATGCTTACCATATTACCTCTTGCAAGTGTAAAGGTATGACTTGTCTCTGAAAGCTAAAGTCACATTGCAGTGACTTCCAGGCTCCAAGAACTATGTTGCTAGTATTTTGCAGGGTGGTTAGAAAAGAGCAATTTGAATCTGCCTGAAGTGTAGGAGAAATACAAGGGTGCGTTTCTGAGCTCCATAAGAATGGGAGCAGCTCCATGACTTGGGTTTTTGCGGGTATCCTACCCCTGTGAGATAGAAAGGCTCCAGAATCTGCTGCTCTCCAGCCCTGGGAGCTGGAAGCTTCTGCCTTTCACAGAGGAGTATGTTGCCAGTGGGAGATCTTCTCACTCAACAGAGCAAGATCGCGGATCAGGCAGGGGTGAGGGGCAACACTACCATTCACAGAGGTAAGGTTTTGCCTTTTGTGGAAGGGAGCATTTATTTGCTCGCAGCAACTACCAAATTCAGCAAGAATCAAACACTGGAGACCCCACGACTCCCTGGGACTACCTCAAGTTGTTAATCAGTGAAAAAACCCTCCAGTGCTTGGGGACTCTCATGGCAGTGGGAGCCTAGAGGGGTCTTCTGGCCATGGCAGACAGGTTCGAGCTCCAAAACCCCCATGGTACCTAACTTAGTGGGAGCAAGGAGATACACTTGATTGCTGAAATGGGAGGCTTAATTTGTCTGTAAATATTTCTCCTACACTGAATTGTATGGAGTGTCAGCCCAGGATTTAACACATTTTACATGCAAAATAAAATTGAATCATTATAAAGTTTGCAGACTAGAAGTCAATTTAAAAAAGAGAATCTCAAGTTTCTTGGGGAGGTAAAAGTAGTTTTTGGAAACAGCTGTTACCTGCTGTTCTTTCCCCTAAGCATAAATTTTGCCATGGCAAATGAGGTTGCAGTCATCTGTCACTTGTTATACAGAAACAGACTTTATTGTCTGGAAATTATATTGTAGAGAGTGTTTGTGGTACATGGCATTTGGGCTCATCATGTGCCTCACTTTTTTGCCAGTGAGACCATCAGTCTGCTCTGCTGAATGAATGTAGGAGTGTCACTGGGTATACTTCACTGTCTGTAGTATTTAAGACTTTCAGTGCCATCGTGCTTCTGAGAGCAACTCACTCTATAAAAGCCAGCCAGACTGTTGGTAAAAGCTGTAAAACCTTCTCAGCAAACATCTTTCTTCCAGAAGAATACAACAGTATTGGGGTTTTCCTCCTAGCATATACTTAAAAATTCCAAACACATCACCAACAGACAGAAATATTCTAGGGAAACCCCCACTCAGAACAAGCTGTTTGTATGATAAAACTACAAGGTTCAAGGTGAGACCAAGCAGAGACTTTGCAGTCGGACTGCGATCTGGTGGTTGTTCTTGTGGGAAGGTGTGTCGGTAATGCAGCAATGAATAGCATGCTGGAATGTTAAAATTGACCCAGCAGGTACAGCAGGATGAATGGTTCTGTTAAATCTGAATAGAATCCAGCTTGTTTTGCGCTGGTTATAAGATCAACAGAAATAATATTATTATAAACTTTAGCTATAAAGTAAATAAAATCTGACTGAAAAGTGAGCTGTGTGAACAATGTCACCTTGATAGCTTCTTAGATCTGTTCATTTCCTATTCACAGCCCCACATAAAGTAAACCCAGGCTTTCTGAAAATTTCTTTTGACCTCTTGCCCAAAATAAAAGTCTGGATATAGGATTAAACTTTATCACCAGGGTAAATCAGGGAGTCAAAACAATAACCTTTCTTGAGTGACCAGGTTGACTACAGGTTCCCATTGGGTCCTGCCAGAGGGCATAGGTATCTTGGGAAATACTCAGGACTCATTTTCTTTTCCACTGTCTTCCAGTATTTCAAGAACAATTCCTTATAGAAGCTTAACGTTGCAAGAGGATGGGGCTTTTCTGTAATGGGAGTTTGCTGTAAAGTCTGACAGAAGTTTTTTCTGATAAAAAAAAAAATTCCTTGTCAAGTGCTATGATCATATATGAAAGATTCTTTTAGTGCTGGGAAGGACGGAGTAGAGCTCTCTGAGTTGCAGAGCAGGCAAAAGTTTCACTGCTTTCATTTTTCAAGGTTTCTATCAGCTGATTATTTTCGCTGGTAATTCTAGACTGAAAAGTATGTAATTTCTCATGTTTCTTATTCTAGTAGGTAAGACTTTAAGGAGGATACTTTTTTTTTTTTGAGTGAATAACTGCTGTCATCTACCTTTTTTTTTGTTGCATTCTGATATAGGAAGCTTTAATTCAGGAAGACAAATAAAGAAATCCAGGTTGGCAGAACATCTGCTTTGACAATACTCCAAGCGGGATTGCAGAGCAGTGTCATCTTTACCTATCTATTATTGTAAAGCTTGTCTTTTCTCTGCCTTGCAACTTTGATTTCACCATAGCATTTAATCTTGGATTTTCAAATCTTTTGTATGGCAAAGGTATATATAATTGCCGCCTTCTGAAACTGCTAGCATATTTTTGGACAATTTTCTGTTGTTGAAATGATCAGGCATTATTAACTCAAATGAGTGAAGTTCCCTATCTACAGAAGTTCTTTGGCAGCAACTAAAATTCAGATGGTTTGGATTGCATAAAGGTGCCAATTCCTTTGCAAATTATGTCCAGCCTTTTTCTCCAATATTTGCTCTTTTTTGCCTTGAGTATCTAATAACCCATATAAAATTGCACCCATTTTTAAATATATGTGACTAAATATCTTCTAGATGGTAAAAACTGACTAATAAACTTTGTAACTACAAGTATAGGTCAGTTTGTAGTCTGCGAATTGAAAGTCAAAGTCCTTGTGTATTATAGTAACTCACCCTCCCTTCCCACTACAGACATTTACTTATTTGTTCATTTCTTTTTGTGCAAATATGCATCATGGCATGATCTTTACCAGGAAAAGGATCATTGGGAGCAATTATTTATGCCAGCATTCAAAAGAGATGCTGGGCTATAAACATTTCCACTAGAGAAATAGCTGAGCCCCAAAATTAAATGCATGTGTCAGAATATCCTTCCTTGACTTGCTTTGACACTGAACATAAACTCTTCATGTGAGTGTTAGCACAGAGTACTAAACTTCTGGAAAGCAAAATCTGCATGTAAGTATTTCTATATGTTTTTATGTTATTTTTGGCTGATTGCTGGCATACTCCTATTCTTTCTGATCACAGAATACACAAGAGGTGATAGGCCACATGCTGTAGGGCCCACTATCTGACAGTTGTTCAGCAGACATAAACCAGCATACTCAAGTTTCCCACATAAAACGTATCTCCAAGACTCAACTTTTTTTTTTTTTTTAATTGAGTGATGACTTCTGCAAAGAACGAGACCCACATTATTTCTATCTGCGGCCATGCTATTGTGTTGCCGTGTCTTCTGTCAACTGCTATCCCAACAAGATTGCCTGTTCTTCTGAGCAGAGTAGCCCAGGTGTTAATCTGATATCTTGTCATTTGTTTTATATCACCTGGAATTGGATTTTGAAACTATTACTCATGCTGCATGTGTACTGGGATCGTTTCTGGAATAATGTGCTATTCAGTATGAGCAATGGTGTTGGAATTTGGCATCTTAATGGGAGCAAGAGCATATCTTTTGCTTTCTCTTTTTTGTTGTACACAGTAAAACAAGGAATAGTGTTTCCTGTCATAAACCTAAACAAACAGGATTATTCATCATAATCTATACAGGGCATCATAGGAGATGCTTGAAGGACTGAGGCCCAAGGTTTTAATGTCCTTAAGGCCTTTTACATAAATGTTTTAAATAATTAAATGCCATTTATTTTTATGCATCTCTAATGGCATTTTATCATTCAGAAGTTTTCTATTCACTGGGTTTTTCACAAATATGAAATATTCAAAAGATTAATTTTGGACTTTATCAGAAATTCATTTGACTCTGTAGATTGAAGTTTTCCAATGTTGATCTATAAGCAAACGTCTTCAGACTGTATAGGCAGAGTAAATATTTAGAAAATAATGCTGTATATTGCAGTAGCTGTGAATTGAGAATTAAGTGATACTCATTTCATTTTGAGTGGTGGTGTTAAATCTAAGTGCCTGGGAGTTCGTGAGTGCACATGTTAAAATTTGTTTCAGAGACATCCAGTCACACAGTTTTGTATGTTACTCCAGTGTTGACTTTAAAAAGAGTAAAGGTCCTGGTACACTAAATAAAAGTGGTCCATATTTCAATGTGTGGTACCTATTTCAATGGTAGTAACATTAACTGATTCTTGCCAGATGAGCACCCAGTCCCAAGCACAGTCCATAATTTTATGGACATAAATCAGATGTTAGAAACCCCCACTGATTGTGTCCCTGAGACCCTTATAAGCAAGAATGACATGAGGTGTAAGAACTGGTAATTCTATTAATGTAAATACTCTTGATATTTCTGATATAATTGTGGTTTTGATGAGTGGAGGGGAGCTATTTGTAAGTACAGTAGATATACTTTTGAACTTGAATGGATGTCTCTCTAGATAACCACATATTCTTCCTATCTTCCTCCTTCCAGTGTGATGATGTATGTTTGGAATGAAACACTAATAATTTTATTATTGTGTCTGGTTGTGTCCTTCCAGAAATCTAAGCAACAATAAGATCAAGGAGATCCGAGAAGGCACATTTGATGGAGCTTCAGGAGTGCAGGAACTAATTCTGACAGAGAATCAGCTGGAATCAGTGCATGGACGAATGTTTAGAGGCCTTACAGGGCTAAAGACATTGTAAGTGCAAAGACCTGTCTTTCTCTGTTCCTCTGTAATTTGAGTGGGAGTGCTCAAGTTCAGCAATGCCTGCTGAAATATCCGTTACTAGAAAACAAGCTCTAAGGCAGGGTCTTGTATCACTGTCGTGAAGTCTTCAATATATTTCTAGTCCTGGGTAGATTTGAGATTTATCAATCAGATTTTGAAGAATTTCAGGAGTAACATGATGGTGAACCTGTCATGGGTCAAATTTGGGCACTTTTAATCATTTAATACTTTTATTATTTTGTTATTTCCTATGGAAACACGGTGTGTAGGAACTATCTATTTTGCTACCTATCTGTTTCCTGTCTATTAATCCATCCTCCCACTCCGCCTCCACCCAAATTGGAATTGTTGGTTTGCTTAAACCAAACCTCAGAGTAGGCTAGGAGCCTAAAAGATTTTTAATATCCTACAACTTAATGAAATCAGTACGTAGAGAGAGAAGAAAGACTCAATTTATTGCTGTCACCAAAACAGGTATAGCTAAGCAACTTTAAGGCAGGCATAAACAAACTGTTACAGATCCTGCTGACAGAAGGTAGCTGGCCACTCACTCTGCACCAGGTGTAGTAGCCCACAAGCACAGGCATGGCTTTGGACTAGCCACAGCATGCTCTTTCTTGCTCACACCAAGTACCATAAAAATTATGTGTGGGTATATTATTAATGTGGTTGTGGTTGGAGAGAATGTGAACGAGACATAGAGTGCAAATGCATAAGAAATCAGTTTGGTGTTACTTTTGTGCTTAGACAACCTTTGTAATTTATTTCTGAGAACTAGCGCTTATACATAAACTCAGAGTACCTAATGCTAATTTATTTTCATGTTAAAAGTTATATTGGAAGAAGGATCACAGGCAAGATTTCAAGATGGTGTCTAATCCACTCCATCCACCATCCTGAGAAGCAGTCAGGGGCTAGGCTTCTGGTGACAGCAAAGACTCATGCCAGATGATGTGTATGATCTGTACATCAAAAATACCTCTCTTGCATAGTCTTCCCTGCTGTAAAAGAAAGCACTTGACTAGGTGGATGCTGTCAGTAAATAAACTCTAGGAATCAAAATGCAATTTAAAATCGGCAATTTATTCATTAGCAGCAAATAGTTCTTATGTTGCAAAGTATAATGGCACAATTACTTCAGTCTCTACTCAAGTGTAAAAAGAAATCCAAGTTTCACTTCAAGGACTTTGGCCTACAATGACGAATAGGGAACTTTTCTTTTGCTGTTCCTTTAACATTATTTTCTGTGGTTACAGCCATCTGTTCTTTAATTTAATGTATGCACTTTACTAAGGGATTTGAAAATACTGTCCATAGATACTAAATTAATTTTTATACTGTAAAGCAGCCTGTGGCAGTGCTCCTAAACAAAATTCAGCATTTTTTAATAAAAAGATGCTTAACATTCAAGCTATCCTGCTGACCTGACCTACATTTCCCCCTAGCTGATAAAGCAGTCTAAATATACACAGCGTGATGTGAGGATCTGTAAGTATAAGTTTTCCTTCAGAAAGGGTACACAGTTCATGCTGAACCATGATATGAAACCAAAGGTTTTGGCTTGAGAGACATATATTTCTATCCATTAATTGACTTTCTTTGAGCATTAAAATTGTGGTCTTTTTCAAAGAGGCCACATTGGACAGGGTCATAGTCCAGTTTTTAAAAGACACTATGTCTTCTGAAATGTAATAAATCACTGTGCAAGAGGTATTGGCATCCAAATTCAGTCATCCCATCTTGCAGTGCTACTGTCTGATACTTTACATACAGAATTGAGAAAATGTTTCCTACTGCTACTAAGCCACTAAGGGCCTTATTTCTCTTATTTACTACGGTATTCATTTTAGAGCTTGTGGTCTTGACCTGGCTTTCAGGCAGCTTAGTTAGTACTCCATGTGTAAGGTGTGTGTTTCTCTGTGCCCTGTGACTCTTTTCTGACATAGTTTCACCCCAGTTGCAATACCAAAACTATTGAGACCATAGTGGCTGTGATAGTAACTGTACATAGAGAAGAATAATACAAAAGCAATGTAATGTCCAGGTCTTAAACACTGAGTATTTGTGATTACACTGTGAATTTCTTCCCTGCCATATCTAATGTCTCTTTGGTGTTTTTCAAGTATCTATTAATGTAGTATTTGAACGCCCAACTCACAGATACCAATCTGAGATTTAAATCCAGACTTCTAAGGGAGTCTGAATTGTCATTGTTCACTGCATGAATTTGATACCAAGGAATTAACCCTCCTCAATTTGGAGGATCAATTCACTGGAACAGCAGCATGAGCTGCATATATTTTGTGGATTTTTGGTATTATGTTTTAATTACTGAATAATTTTTCACCTAGGTAGGAATAGCACAACTGTGTAGTGATGTTTACAGACCCAGATGTTGATTGGCGTGCAGCGTAACAAATACACGAGCCTTATTTGCTATGGAGTGAAACAAGATACTACAGTCTTTCAGATTAATTAGGTTTTATTGTCGAGTTCATTGTTACCATAACGACTTAGAGAGATGTATCTTCCAAAACACAGCACTGATTCATCTGGTACAAGCACTGAGCAAAGACCATTTTATAGGATGGTTATTGCTTTCTGTCTTGTCAATTAATGATTATAATGACGTTTCAGAGCTTACGTTAGGTCTGGAAATCTTTCCTAAGCTATTCTTGATTTCTGCTGAGGATGCTGTTTCCTTCCATGCTTTTGCAGTGTGGATTACAAAAAACATCCATGATAGGAGTAGAAGTAATGCAGCTAGTATTGTTATTGTCACACATTTCTGGCAGTCCTTCTCAACTGATGTCTGAAATATATCTTCACTTACTCTCAGATATTTATTAAATTAAGACTTTAGTGTTTATTTCAAGCTTGCCACTAGTAATAATTTTAATCGCATACTACTTTCAGATGTGGAGCTCCCATCAGCCTCTAATGTTGTGTGGAAGAAATGCAGTTTAAATTCATGAGACAATGTTTACATGAATCTAGCCCTCCTTTAGCTGTGTTGTACTTCAGCTATCAATAAAAAAACCTCTAAATAAAAATAGAATACAGTGCTTGCCAAAGCATCTGTTGATGCCCTAGATAAAGGACCTCCTATCCTAAAATTATACCCCCTCGCAGTAGTTCCTGATTCCCTGTTTTAATCCTTGCAGGATGCTGAGAAGCAACTCTATCAGCTGTATAAACAATGACACCTTTGCTGGACTGAGCTCGGTGAGGCTTCTTTCTTTGTATGACAATCACATCAGCACTATCACCCCTGGAGCCTTCAGCACATTAGTCTCTTTGTCTACAATGTAAGTTATCTTTCTACAGTATGAACATGTCATGATGCTGTTATTCTGTGCTTTCCGTTTAAGAAGACAACGTTTGAGTTTCAAAATCAAACTGCTTATTGTTCATATATGGAAGACTTCATTTAGATGTTTGGAGGATTCAAGGTGTGATTTAGAAAAACATTTGAATTGCTTCAGCTGGAGTGGCTGAAAAAACTTTGACGTTGCCAGCCTCAGGCAGGATGACTGCATGTTTTGCCATGTCACAGCCTAGTGCAGTGCACAGTAGAAGTTCATGTAAAACAATCTCTGCAGATTCAGAATTGCATAACTTATCACACATTTTAGCTCCCTGAAGCTGCTTTGGTTTCAGTAGAGCCTAATTTTGTAAGAACAGCTTTCTTGGATTTCAGTTAAATCAGTTAAATATCAGAAGAAATCTACTAGCTAATGCTTAGATTTTTCAGAAGAGCCTAAGAGGACAAAATACTCCAGTCCTACTGAATGTGAATATGAAAATCCCAACCTAAGTTTTTGTGATAATTCTTTTATATTTCTCAATCCTTCTTTGAAGTATTTCCCTTGCTTCTTAAATATATTTACATGCTTTTTGTAGTGTGCCCATTTTAATAAAGGACAGACTAATAAATATGGAAAGAAAGTCTGCTCTTTGTTTCCAGCTGTGAATGGGGATCCTGATGTTGCTGTTAATGGAAGTTGTCTGCTTAATTCCCTTCACACTGCCCTGAAAATACATCCTAATTGTCCAGTCAAAATAAACTATTGGTGCTGTTGCATTTCAGATTTTGAAAGTATTATCCATCATGTTTGGGGGAGGAAAGAAGTGTTGAATCTCAGCTGTTTTGTGGCTCACATTTTCATTTTGTTGTTACAACTTTTCACCAGCAAATCAGTTATCATTCTGGCATTAGCTCCATGCAGTGTAAAGAGCCCAGACTTTTCTTCCGTTTACTTTCTGTAGTCCCAAAAGCCTCCTTGAAAGAGATGGACAAAGAGAGAAACACAACCAGATTATTTTATTGACCATTTTCAAGTCACAGGTCAAAGCGAGTGGTACTTCCTGAAAGCTTGTTCTCATTGTGCTGCAAGCACTGCCTGCCTGCTTCTCGCGCAATTGTCCCTGTGCTTCCTTCCGCGGATCCCTTAATAGCTGTGACTCTCTGAATCAGTCTATAAGGTCCCTACCTTATTTGCATAGAAGCGTCTTTGTCATATTTCTTCTTTTTTCAGCTGTGGATGAAGATTATTACAATTTCTAGCAACAGCAATTAAAGCTGCTGCTAATTAGAATGCATTGCTTTGGCACTGACTTATAGTCAAGTTGGTTATGGCAGGTTCCTAGCTGTGCCTTGATGAAAAAGTTTGTTCTTTGACACATTTCACTCTGTGCTTGATCCACAGACATGAGAAAGTGTGCTTTTAACTTCTTTAGGCATTGGTTTAAGGCCATAGTGATATTTCACATAAAAATGCAAAATTCAGATGTGTTCATTTCCTAGCCGTACTCCATTGTAGGTGGATGTATTAGATGACAACACTACTGAAGATAGATAGTATGACTGCTTTTCCTGTTCAACCCACACTTTGTGAGTTAATCGGGTATTGTAATGACTTATTTTTGCATCTATTAATGTGAGCCAGAAATTCATACAAATTTTAACATTTCCATTTTTATCTTGGCACATTTACAGGACTAAAAAATATCATTCCTTTTGTTATTACTCTTTGTGAGTCAGCCTCATTGATATTATCAAAACACAAACAGCTCTGAAAATAATGCCCTGACTAATGGTTTTCAGTAGAGGAAGAACATCTATTTTTTAGGTTATTGGTAAAAAAATAGCAGTTTCTATTATTTATTACTAGTTAAACTAGGTAATGTAGCATCCTAATTTGAAGTGTTCGTGCATTTCTGCATACAGAGAGTTCAGTCATGTCTTTCAGTCCTTACACAGTCAAGTGGGCATGTTTGCAAGCAGAACTGGTTTTCCATGAATTAAACCTGGAGCTATTCTAGTACAAACTTAACCTGAATTCCAGGATATATTTTCAACCTAATTTTGACAATATCCAGGTGCATTTCAGCATGTTTTTCTAGAATCCATTTAAATAGCTAATATTCTGTGGCTTCTTTGACATTTTTAAGAGGCATTTGTAGTAGGATATGCATATTTCATTCCTCAAGACTTCTATTCCCCCTTCATTTTAAAAGTATGTCTGTGTCCTTGAGTAAACATGAATTTAATGTTAGTACGACATCTTTGCTAAAAGCTTGATTGCTTTGTTTCTGTTTGAGTGGTTAAATCACTATCTTACGTGTAGGAACTCTGATTACTAATTATGAATTTTTATAACAATTTGTCTGCCCAACATTACTGTTTGTGATTTAAGAACTCCACTTGAATAGCCAGATTCCACAATAAAGTTTTTGCAAATAATTGGCCTTTCCAGACTTTCAATTGCTTTCCAGGTGAAGTAGGGAATCTCTTGTCCCACATGACACTTTATAGAGAGCCTTGATCTTACATTTTTTCCAAAAATTGCATAACTGTCTTGCCATGGAAAGAGCATGTATGTAGGCACGTGTATGAACTTCATGCTACATTAAAGCAAAAAATCACTGCTCTGCAGTTGGAAAAGGACGAAATTTAGTTGTTGCTAAAGTGGCAGGAGGATGTGTGTAATGCGTGACGATAAATTTGTCCTTTTTTCCCCACAGTTATTTGAATTTCAAAACAGTAGATTTGTTTCTCTATTTATTCATTTTATATGTAACAACTTATTTCTTTCTTAGTTCCTAAGAAAAGCATAATTCAAATTCTAATCCAAGGGTTTAATAAATTTTAGGTCATATGTTAACCTGTGTTTGCCAAGAAGAAAATGAGGGTTTGTGGATAGTTACTGCTGCTCAGCTAGTGACCAGTAACACATTAAGTCAAAGCAACCTCTCCTCTGTAGAATAGGGATAATTACTATTTTGACGGGAGCATTTTGTAGATTGAACGTTCAAATGTTTCTGAAAATTTTTGATATATCTCAGTAAGATGCTCTCTAGATGTGCAAAATGTTCTTTACACTCAGAGCTGCTGGTTTTCCAGACACCTGATTATATACACCTGCTGTTTGTTTCCAATTGTGGATTATTTCATTCTAAGGATTTGTGTCATGGAAGTTGTTCTGTGAATATGATCTCACTCTCTTCCATCAGTGGAACAAATGGCCCTTGAAGCATTGGTTCACTTAGCGTTGGAGGTTTAAATACTTGCTTTAAACACACTGTTCATGCCAAAGTATGTCAGTACGGAAAATATACAACGCATCCTGCATGTGGTCCCATTATGAATTAAAGAAAATGGAAAACAATTCAGGAGGAAAGTAACTAGAATTAGAGTGATGCTTTCAGTGCTTTTCTGCACATTCTGCCTGAAAGCTTCTATGTAACCTGTTCGTTTTCTTACCTTTATACAGCAAGTTAGCCTTGCCTTTGAATCCTAGTCAGCATGAACTAGGTTGAGTATTTTTATTATTGAACATTATGCTGAGTTTTTTACTCCCCCCAGTTCTCCCTCTACACAGTGTACGATAGTGTGTGCTAGATCCACATGTAATTACACACCCAGAGCTCCAGGCTAGTGCAGTGATTGAAGTATGCTTTTTTACAACGCAGAGAGCAGCTGTAAATTATATTGTGGGTATGTGATGTTGGCCTAGAGCCTACATAATTTAGGAATTGGTTTGGGTTTGTTTTCTTGCTGCCACACCTCAACTGTGCCATATGTTTTTGTCTTCAGCACAATTGTTTTCTGAAGGAATTGCTTGGCTGAAAACCTAATGTGATTTTGACTACATGTTTAGGTTTGTAAAAGTATGTTGCAAGTGAAGACTTACAAGGTCTTCAGCTACTACACCTGCATTTGAAGAGCCTGTTTTTTTAGGGCCTTAAAATTTTTTGTCTTTAGGATATGCTATGCTTTAGAGAAATTTCATTATCATCTTTTTTCTGTACTGCCAAAATAGTAACTCTCAGACAAACTCACATAGATGTGAGAATTCCATCAGGGTTAGTTTAGATACTTCATTTAGATACTTCATTTTCCATACATCATTTTTCTTTGATGAGGCAACCTCAGACTGAGGCTATTGATTCTCCCTGTCTTTGTACATAAGATAGTCAGCCTTCTTTTTCTACCAGGGATATCAGCCTCTTTCCTTCATCTGAAGGTTAGTCATAAAAAAGCTCACACACAAATTATGGATAGGCGTTTCAGTACAGGACTCCAGTAAAAAGTTTTTTTCCAAGATTCTCAGCGCTAATTCTAGTTAGCTTAGAAAGATGGTTGCTTAAAATAACTGTCACCTTACACTCCTTTCATTCAAAGGTTCACAACCTATTAAGAAACAGAAATGAATAATATCTTTTCTATATTGACTATCTATGTTACAAGTGCTCCACTGAGAAATTGCTATACATCTATGTTTTCATGGCTTGACCACAGGATGGATAGGGCTTTCCTTTTTTAAACACTGCTAACCCAAGCTGTGTTAAGAATCCATCCCTCTCACAGAGGCTGTCAAATGGTTGCTTTGGGTACTGCAAATAGTATCCACAAAAAATCCACAGTGCGGCAGCTAGGATGCAACTGTATTTGAAAGATATTTTGGGAGCTGTAGCAAGATTTGATGCAGACCTCACAAAGTTCAGAAGGCAGTAGAGCAGATGCTTTTCACTACAGATATACTGATCTTAGAAAGCTTCATAAGAACTGGCTCAGGCTGACAGTGCTGCTTAATATATGTATATATGTACATACAGAGTGCTATCCTTACTATTTCAGTAGGAAACCCAAATTCAGGTTGCCAGTGGCTCCCATCTGGCGCTGGTTTGTATGGTCTGTAACATGGGCAAGTGGAAAGCATGAGCATACTGGGGCAAGGAGCAGTGTGCTAAGCCAGCTTGTCTGTACACAAAGGGAGTGGTACATGTAGGTCTGTGCTAAGGGTTCGCAGTGCTCTAAATGTTTCCATGGCATTACCCGAAGAAATGACACTGAAGATCATCCATACATGGGTGCAGCGTGTAAGGTGAGTTTAGACTGGGATGTGAGCTGTAGCTTGGGTTGAAATCCACTATACATACAGCCCTGGTAGTGATGTATGTATGTCTAAATAATAGTTGTAGCAGCAAGTGCTTTGGTTATAAACATAGATATATATGCATGTATATATATTTTAATTGCAACCCTAGTCCTAGTATAAAACCTACATAGAACATCCCTAATCTGTAGAACAGAGGAGGATCTCACAGAAACAGATGGCAGGAAAGAGCTTGGACTTGGAACCCATCATCTTTCTGTAGTTATTTCAGTATTTCTGTATGTTCATGTTTGATGCAATTATGTCTTGTTCCGTTTCAGTAATTTGCTGGCTAACTCCTTTAATTGTAACTGCCATTTGGCCTGGCTGGGAAAATGGTTGAGGAAGAAGAGAATTGTCAGTGGAAATCCACGCTGCTTGAAACCCTTTTTCTTAAAGGATATTCCAATCCAAGATGTAGATGTCCAGGACTTCACCTGCGATGGTAAGAAAATCCAATTCGATTTGGCATTTATGATAATGTTGGCACTTCTGTGAGGACCTCCCTTTCTATAAAACAATACAGCACGGTAAACAGTTTAGTGATGAGGAAGATAGCCATCTAGAGCTGAAGATTATTGTTCCCTATCAGGAGTTTATTTTTAATCTTGATTTCCAGTTTCTGAATTTCTACTATCTACACCTAAATACAAGAATGAATTTATTATAGACAAATGCTCTGCTTTGTATAATCCCAGTATAATCATGGCCCTTCCTCCCACTTCCTTATTCATACACTTAGTTAACACTTTGAAGCCAGTGGGAATGGAGCTTGCTTGGAAAGTCTTGGGTTTGGATGCTGTTCAGTTTCACCAATAACAGGTATGAATACAGGGAAATAAAAAAACTCAGATATTATTTGAAATGACTCAGTGATGCTTAATGCTTTGTCGGGTCCGTATAGGTTTAAAAAAAAAAAAAAAATCCTGACATTTCTTTCATTCTGCTTGTCTTCTGATCAAGCAGATTTTAGAGAAAATAATGAGAAAAATTGACTGATGAATGCACTGCTACTTGACTTGTAGGCTGTGATTGCCTGTTAAGACCAGATATGCTGGAGCTGCAGTTAGTCATACTTCTAAAGAAACTATAAGAGTGATAGAAGTTTCCTACTTAGAGTAGAAATTAAGTCCTGTCCTAGTCGAGCAATCTAGCAGGTGCTTGGGCTCAGAGCTCAAGGGACCCAAGTTTCATCATTAAAGAATAATTAGCTTTTAGTTTGGGAGGAAAAAAAAAAAATCCTGGTCCACAAAATGACGTTCCACACTTGGGAGCTTTCTCTATCATACAGTCACTCAGACAGCTGTGGTGAATGGAAGGTAGATGGTGGCAGGGTGTAAAACACAGAACATAGGGGAAAATTTGATATGCTGAAGAAACATGCTCTTTCTGCAGGTTTATGAAAGACTTTGAATTTTGTTTACAGTCATTAAGCTCAGCTGGGCAGAAAAAAAAAAAAAATCTTTCCTGTTCTTCTGTAGGCTGGTCGTGCTTCCCCATCCCTCTGAATACAAATTATTCCCTACCCATACATTTACGGGTAATTTTGCTATCTTGTATCAGGACTTCCAGTCTTATTTTAATCTCAATGCTCATGGGTACATCCAGCAGAGAGAAGAAAGAAACAGATCTGTCTCAATTAGTCCTTGCATCAGTTTAAAAAAATAGAAGGCAGCACATAATGACAGCTGGCTGTGTGCTCTTGGATTGCAGCACTGTGTCTCCGTGCTGGTCAACTCAGGCTGCCTGTACTCACAAACAGTTGCGTGGTTCCTCTCACTGTCATCTAGAGAATGTGCCACTAAGTGTTTCCTTTCATACACACCATGATACTGTAGTACGCATTTGCCTTATGTTTTGCAAAGCCTGTTGCTTTTGGGGGAAGTCCATGCTTTAATGTTCTTAACTTCAAAGAGTTGGTTTCTTCTGCAGAAACCGTATTGTTCTTCAATTACAAGATTTAATCTGCTGTTTATGGACCTTTGAATCCATTTTTGGAGAAAGTAGATATTTTTATGTGTGCACAGATGGATCGCCAGCAGTTGGAAGTATGCTGCTCAGTTTGTTGTTTGCCTGGTTATCCTTGTCAAAAACAATGAGGTTTTACAATTCAGATGATAAATGAACTTCCAGGCTGACTTTAAAAAGTAAAAAATTAACATCTAAAAGCTGAATTTAAAACAAATCTTCCTAAAGCAGAGTAGATAGTGAATATCATCTAGATGAATTTAAGGGCAATGTTCTGGTCAAGTTCTCCACTTCAGCTAGTACATTGGGGTGGGGGGAGGATTTGGGATTCACATGACTGATTCTACTGTAATTTGCAAAATTACAGAGAAGTAGATACTCCTTAGAAAAAAATATTTATTTAAAAATATTGCTATTCAGTTTTTGAACTGATGTTCATGCTGCCTAAAGAACCTGTATAAAGGCAGGTTGATCCAAAGCATTGGATCTACTTTAAAATATTGTGATGGTTACCATGGATTCAGGGATGTCCCTCCTTGGTCCTTGTAAGCAGTTATCTTCAAAGGCATCACTCTGGGCTGTAAAGCTGACTTCCTAATACTCCATTTCTCTCCCTCTGCAGGTAATGATGAAAACAGCTGCTTGCTTTCACCTCCTTGTCCTTCCCAGTGTACCTGTATGGACTCGGTGGTACGTTGCAGCAACAAAGGGCTGCGGATATTGCCCAAAGGCATTCCCAAAGACGTGACTGAGCTGTAAGTTACCTTTTACATAGCTCCTTTCATGAGAAGTTCATGAAATTACATCATAGTGAGGCTTTGTAGGTCCTTGGAGGTTTTGCCTTTGACTTTAGTGGCTGGTGTTTTGTGCTTTGGTGCTTTCCATAACAGTTTTGACTTATTTTTGTACTTACTTGTCCCTTGACTGAATACATTGCTCTGTAATGGGAACAGAGTTTATCTATCCTTGTACCCATTAATTCTGTGTGTAGAGAACAAATGCATATATTAGTATCAAATAATCCTGTAGTGCTTCTGAGCAGCCTAAGCTCACAACAGGCAATTTGGAAGGATGATGAAAATACATTCCTGACTTACGCAGCTGTGAGCTAATTATCCTCTGAGGAGATTAAAAAAAAAGAAAAAGAAAGCAAGCCAGTGGTGGAAACAAACAATGAATTCTTTTCTCCAAACCTCATGAATAAATTGTAAAGTAAATTCATCCTAGTTGAGAACCATCTTTCTAGTCATCTTTTCATCTACCCCTCGCTCTGACTTTATACTGGATTTTGGTTCTTTCTGTGGAAATAAAATACACTGGTGGAACTGCTTGGCTTAAACAGTTGGCAATAGAAGTACTGAGCTTTTCCCCTTTAGGTTCTTATTCAAATCTATCCCAGGTGAGTCGTTACTGAAACTTGTTACAATCTCATCAACATTTCAATGTGAAAGTAACTGGTTGAGTTAGTTGGTATGTTCAGTGAATTTTGTGATGAATTAAAATCTGATTCTGCTATTTTTTAGTATCTGTTTTTACTGTTTAGTAACAAGGCAGCTGATGAATGAGATGCACATCTTTTTACTCCCTTCACAGTGGGAGAATGCACCATTTGCACTGTTTTAACCAGTGTTGTAATCAAATACAAGACTTGGTTGCTGAATGAGGAGTGTACTGAAAGGGTATGTGGTAACTCAAATTAACATGGAAATTTTGCAGTAATTAATACATCCTTGGAACACTTTAACCAGGGCATGGTTAATAGTGGTTTGAACTAAAAGCCAAGTCCTGGCCTGTATTCCCTTATATATTGCTATCAGCGATAAAAAGTCTGCAAGGTGGTTTCTGCTCTGTTCTTGTTCAGGTTTCTTTGCATTCAAATATGACCTGCCAACAATAAGATATCACAGATGTTACTTTGATTTCCACTGCCACACTGAGGAATTTTTATGTTTAAATTTTGCATATTGAGTTTTACTGATGCTATCTGATACACTGACGACATAACTTTCACAGAAAGAGTGAAATTAATCTCACATTCTTAAAAACTGCTATATTTCTTAAGCTATTTCTTGGCAAATGAGGCAATAGCCTGGGACTGAGCAGTTTGAGTTCATAGGAGCTTACGTGACTGTCTTCTTCAGTAGGAGCCTCTTGGCTGTGCAAGCCTCTAGTTCGGCTTTCTGCTTTCAATCCAGGAATGTGTCAGCAGAACACAGTCAGCCATGGACTGGCTGGCTCTGAATATTCCATGTTCTACAAATATAACCTTGAATCTGTCCCAGCTGTCTCAAAATTCAATCCTGATCTCACTCTCCTCTCACCAACATAAACTGAGCTCCTTATTTGTATCTATACCAAAAGATGAGCTGCAGGTACTGAAGCTCAAAATTTTATGCGTTTGTGGAAACTGTGACAAGAATGAAATAAATAAATAAAAAGTTAATCAATCTTACTTGCCTTACTTCTGCTTCCGGATTGAGATAAAGACGTTGCCCATAATCTAAGGGACTATATGATCTAGGTCCCAAGTTGCTGGTGTGAACTTAAGTATTTTTATTGTTCTGTGTTTGAGAAATGTCATTGCTGCTATGGTAAACAGCGTCTCCTGTGGAACCCCACCTCTTGCCTCATTTTCAGGACAGCTAAAACTTGGCAGAGAGAACCCAATAGCTTTCTGGGCACAGGGTGAATGAGATTTATCTTGTTCAATCCATTTACACTCTTCACACCAAAATACCCCCATTTCCCTAGGGCAGTCCTAGATCCCTTGAACTGTGTCCTAAGGCTGGAGTATCTTCTTAAAGCTGTTTTGTTTCTGTGGTAGCAGTGGATATCTGTTAGCACTTGAAACCGGAAAGCGCATACATTACCTGCTGCAGAAGATACCACGCCTTTTGCATGGCTAGAGAGAGCCACAGCAGTCTCCAGGGCAGGGATGCCCTCACCTTTCTCGCTGCTACAGTGGTCACAGGTGCTCAGATAGGTTAAAAACCCTTCCCCCGTGTTACTGCAACCCACACTGCCTTTCTCCCCTTCCACGCTCTCATGTCAGAGACCTCTGGGCAGTGTGCTGGGGTCTCCGTGCTCCCACGAGGCACTCGCACAAAACCACGGTCACTAAGGACAGAGGCCATGCCAAGGAGAGGACGAGGGTGTAAAGAGCCTCTTGTCCTGGTAGCCCACAGCTCCCTCCCTGTGGGAGGCCTGAATGGTGATATGATGCAGGGGAGCATTTTAGAGGAATTTTTATGAATGCTCCAGTCTGACATTTATAAACTTCCATTACTGATGTATTCATTTACAAGGCACATTAGCTGCAGTGCTTTTTATTAAACTGCAGTGTGTTTTTATACAACATGGTTTAAGAAAAAGAACTGCCATGTATCTAGATAAATCAGTCTGTTATGGGTGAATATAGCCTTCTCAGAAGTTCTTTTAAATCCTTTTAGGGGTCTTAAAATAGCCTTAGAACAGGAATTCTTTCATTGTAACAGGTATTAAATAGCAATGTGCAAAAATGAACATACCTCTTGCACAGGCACCTAGGGAAAATGCTACCCTTTGCTGGGTCAAATTTCACTGTACCTAAGCTCAGCAAAAAAAGATCACCAGCAATGTTTTATTACATGGTGGACTGGAGACATAGGCTCGCTCCTTCCAACTTTCTTCCTGAGTTTCTGTTTTGGATGTGTATATAGACAAAACATGTGAAAACCATTATCTCCTTCATATTTAGAGCTTGGAATGACAGGAGACATCTCTGTTTGGTTTGTACCACCCTTGGGAGGAGGGATTACCTTGGCAGGGAAGGCTTCCCATCTAGAATAGAGTTGAAAAGATCACTAAGTCTCCTGGCTTTTTAGAGGGATGATGATGCAAGAAATTTCTTTTTCCCAGCTATTCCTTCACAAACCCCCGTCATCATAGGCAAGCCTTCTTTCAGCTTCCTGGGAATAGGGAAATATTATGTTGTTTCTTGCAAATTCCTTTGCTCTATATTTGTGTACTGCCTACATTTTTTCCCACTGTTTGCTTGCTCTGGAGAGAAGCCTTGGGTTTTTTGAACATACTCAGTTTTCTAGTCCGGATGTTCAAAAGTAAAATGTTCATGCAATGAGCTAGTTTGGAACTTAGCCTCACTACTGCTTAGTGTTTTAGGCTTTCCTTTTCTTCCTTTTTTTTCCCCAAATCTGTTTGAACTAAGTTTCCCATGCTCTTTTTCCTTTTACATATTACCTCAGTGTGTGAACCCTAATTTTTTCTTTTTTTTCACAAAAGTATAGTCTATTTCTACTAAAGTCTTATCTGACGGCATCCAGCTGCTTTTATGGACCTACAGCAAATAATATTTTGCACTGGGGAAAAACATTGGAGGCAATTATGTGGATGGCGTGTGCATAAGCTGTAACATAATGAGCATGGTGTATTTTAGAATAAATATGTACTAATCACGTCATCTCTAGACTCCAAATGTTGCCATGACACTGAGCTATGATAGCACTGATGGGATTGTTAGGAAAACCTGCACCCATACATCATTGTTAGTGACTTTTTAAATTTATTTATATTAATACATATTAATATTTGCATTACTTTGCCATTTCTCTCTCTCTCCTCACAAACCGTCTCTCTCCTGTTTGTGTTTTTGCTCTGCATGTTAGGTTCATTTAGCCTGCAAGCTTGTTCAGTACTTGGCACAACAGTTTTCACAAGTGGCTGACCTGCTTACTAGCAGAGGAGTCCCATTGAACTGTCTTTTAGCTCTTTATTCCCCACCTCCAGTTTGCTGCCTGTTGCTGCCTTGGCCTTAGCATGGCACCTTTATTCAGCTGAGTCTCCAGTTGCCAAGACGGTTCTGACAATTGCTTCCCATACATTTGCTGCCACATCTACTTGGAGGTATTTACCACCAATTGCAACCCTGCTTTCCCGCTTCCAAGGCACTTGTGATTTTTCTTGACTTGTGACTAAAAATAGTGGCTCATACCTGGGCCGTACAAATTGTTGCAATAAATATGCTCTAAGCAGTTAGTTATGATTCTATGTAGAATGTTCTAACAATTCAGTGCCATTTTTCAGTATGCCTATATTGCTGTTGATCAAACGGATAACTGTGAAGTGAGATATCTGATGAAAATCATCTGCTTGAGAATGCAAATGCTTTTGCTTGTCTGGCAATCTGCACTGTTTTATACACTGACCCTTAACACAGACTTCAGTGAATTTTCCTTTGATAATAAAGGAGAGAACCAATTTAGATCAAAGCTTAGGCTTACATGGTCCTGTGTCATAAAGGATTTTACAGCCTGCTTAAATCACTGCAGAGGAAAACTCTCCCATTGAGAGAATGGATAGTTCTGTAGAAAGAAATTTTAGTTACAGCTGAAATAGAGGACTTTGAAATCTGCATTTCAAATCTGATAGTTTAGAAAAAGTAAATAGTATCAATACTATAAAATAATGTGTTCAGTGACTGCTGAAGTTTGAGTACGTATCGGAAAGGTGACTTTAGCACTAATAGAGGTAAATTTAACTTTAGGGTCTTCACTTTTCTCTCAAACGCAGTCATGTTTCTGTGTGTCAAACCTGTAGGTTGTGGTCTGACATACAGTCCAGAGTCTATATTTGCCAAAACTTAAGAAAGTTCAAGATCCAGATTTGTCCTAGATCCATACTTGAATTTTGTTTCTTCTCAAGAAACTGTAATTGAAGCTCTTAAAATATATGCTTTGTGGATATGTTTCATCCTTCACAGTCCAATTCTCTTCTAGACCACCATTTTTAGGAAATGAAACTTGCCTCAAAATTGTAGGATATTAGATATCTGCATTAAAAAGTTTAGACTATAACTTAATTTTAGAGCTGCATAAAATTGTCGAGTATCATCTTTTCTTGTAATGTAACATTTTATATGAAATATTTAAAGAAATTAAGGGAAGGGCTTTGTGCCTTTTCAATTACTGCCTGAGAACTGATTTCTCTCTCCAATTTCTTCTCGTAGCACAGATTGCCACTGTGAGCTTGACTTTATGACTGAATAGACGTTTCAGTACAAAAAAGGTTCCAAGTGATTCAAATCATTACTTGATGCTTTGGCACCTTGTGCTGGTTATATCACCTTCTATCCAAGTGGTTTGAGTATAAAAATAGACAAGTTGGAAAAAGAACAGCTGTCATCTTTTATGGATAGTTTTAAATTTTTTATATGTGATGTTAGTGTGTGTGGAAGGTGCTGGATGAGCCCCAGGGCTGCTGCAGGCACTGGGCTCCGAGAGCTGGCGCAGTTGGTGCAGGCACAGAGCGAGGCATGGCCGTGCCCGCAGTGCTAGCCATCCTGGCCAAACAGTTACCTGTCTCCAGCACTCGGTCATGTTTTAGAAGAAGCCTTTCCTGGTACGTGGTTGGTGCCATTTTATGAGACATGAACATGTTTTGGGGTTTTTTTCAATTTTGGCTCTGGTAATTGCTTGTTGGTTACAAGTCATTATTGAGACTTCAGGATTCCCAGCAGCATTTATGGGGTAAAAAACAATTTCCAGTCTGATATATTAAACTACAGAGTCGAGAGACTTTAGGAAGCAGATGAGGTTGCTTTGGATACTAGTCGGTATGTTTGTATTAAGGCAGCTGACACCCACTCTTGACTCTGTCTGTATATTAATAACTTGACTCTGAGCATTAACATTAGACATACATTTTTTTTATTCATGCCAGAATTTCTTTGCATACCAGATGCCACGTACATCATCTTACTTTGGCTGAGGATTGAAAAGAATTAAAACTACAATCTTCCTTCCACATCATTCTGTTATGGTTTGGTTTGGTTTGTTTGAGCAGGGGGTCTGCAGCTTCGTCCATGGTTTTTTATTTATTTATATATATAAATACGCAGAGTTTTGTAACTGGGCTCTGCGCCTTCACCCTCAGGAATAATTGTGTTATTCACTATGTCCAGCTTCCAGTCCTCTTGCAGCCCCCGTACATCATTTTCAGCCCAGCAAGGTGCAGAGCTGCTGCCCCTGCATCCCCTCCCTGCTCTGACAGAGGCCTGGCCCGCGGCGGGCAACAGTTCACCTGCAGCAATTGGTTTCTTCAAATGTTGCATCTCAGATCCTCCTGATTCTTGGCATGCTCTTATGCCCTAAAAACTCTGGTTAGTTCAGATTCATTGCACTTAAATGTGCTTTCAAAATGAATGCCTTTTGCTTAGAAAATATTGCCATTCTTCATATAATGTGGTGAAAGGTTTAACTGGTGAATTGTTCTTATGCATGCATGAAAAGTATATAATCAGTAATTTTTCAGTGTAAAATTGTGTTTGTTCAGAAATTATACCACTGGTATAAGTATTGCAGCTTTCTGCTAGCACATTTATATAACCATCAAATTGCTTGCAGTACAAATCCAAAGCTATTCAAAGCAGATCTTCTGTAGGAGTTTTACCCCAGGGGTCTGCATGTCTATGTTAGTCTGAATAATGAAGCACTGGATTAAAATGTGCATCCTCAACTTTCGATTGCACCAGAAAGCAAAACGGGGTGGGGGGGGCGGGGAAGCCTTGGCTAGCCATCATCAGTTTGTTCAAATTGCAGGCTGTTTCATATTGCGATCAACAAGAGAATATCCTGAAAATGTATTTCTGAATATTTCAACACATTACAAGAATTGAGTCTCCTTTCCTAAAGGAAAATCATATATAGCTTCCAAATACATAATACATTACCTGCTTTTGATTTCCCTTGGAAATCCTTTGGTTTTTATATTTGGAATAAAGACTGGAACCCTAGCCTACCCTCATGCATGGGTTTAAGATTTGCGACTTTCTTGGGTGAAAGAGAAGGCACAGACTCCCAGCAGCTTGCTGCATCCATAGCAGACCATGACAGGGGAAATGAGACATGATTTGCCCTGTTTAAATAGTAACATATGTGGTTGAATTCTGAGGATCTTCTACGTAAGGATTTATGGTGTGAATTGACCAAGGAACTCCATTTTCAAAATAATTTATACCAAATTTAGTCAAAATGAAGCAAGTGACTTTACACTTGCTGAACATGAATATCCAGGGGAAGTGTAAATGTGGCATAACGAACCCATACTCTGGTTTGTGATAATCTGCGTCAGCAGAGCAGCTGTCACTACTTTGCAAGGGCTGTTTACTGTACAACACCGTCACTCAATGCTTGTGATCTTTGTGAATGGAGAGATTAATTTGTTCAATAGTTTTTTTCATTAAGGAAGGTTTTTGCTTTTGGTTAAAAATTCAAAAGTTTGTAGTGCTGCTTGTCCAGCCTAATCCTCGCAGGAGCGGGGTCAGCTCCACCGCATGCTCTGGTAGTAACTCTGGCTTGATGGGGTCCTGTGCACAGACAGAATGGATAACCGTGAGGCTGGGGTAGTTTAGTTGGAGTAGTTTAGTTGAAAAGAGAGCTGAAGCAGCAGAAAATAGTGAGAGGGCATCATGCTGAAATAGAAGGGGTGGGGGGGGAATAAGATGTGACAGTTATAAAATGTATTATGTAAGAAATTCTGTTAGTGTTTATAGATTTTATTTTTAAATGATGTAAAAATAAAGTTTGTGGGAAAATTTTCTTGGATTTAGTTTACACAAATATCTCTGTGTTGTTACAGTTAATGTAGAGAGGGAACATATAGCACAGTAATAATCTATTATTATTGTTGTTTGCTATAGTAAATGCAGAATAAGGAGGTCTGCTGCCAAAGAAAAGGAAATTGTATGTGTGGGATAAAAATTCTTAACATGTTTATCAGATTATATTTTCAGCAGTAGAGGCAGCACGTTAAGTGTTCTGGTGTCTGTGGGCTGTGTTTCCTGGCCACGCTTGATTATCTTTCAAAACATACCTTGTCAATCGCATTGCCCCATGTCTACCTTAGGAAAAAGCCCCAAAGTATCTTGTAAGGACGGGAGATATCATTTCATCTTTTATCCTCACCTGTGGAGGGAGAAATGCCTTCCTCCTACACAGTACTTTTTGAGAAGGTTGGATTTGTTTCCCAGGTAGATATGGCTTCTGGCAGACGTCTGGAGCATCACCTTGACAGTGTCATGGCACCACAGTGGCCAATTTCCATTGGAGCCTTACTACCTTCGTATCTTACAGGGATGCAGTGTCACCCAAAAGCCAAGGTTAAGGAAAGGAAATCCAGCTCTGTCTCTATTATTTTGTAATAAACGGGAAAAGCCCCACATCCCATTGCTCCACAGGTCAGCTGTGGAGTCTTGAGTTCCCATGCTCTCTTCTGGACAAACTTTTGGAAACTATTATATTTGTTCAGGATTTTTCCCTTGGTTACTGAATGTTCGCGTTTCTTCAGTGGAGAAAAACTGCAAAATACAGGCACTATATTCCAGGAAAATGAGGACATAGGATTATCCCAAAAGGCTTTAGCTTACTGTGCATGTGTCTGAATAGAGACACATTCAGTGGTGTCTTAAACAACTTCCTCCCTGGAAACACAAGCTATTTTATTAAATACACTTAGTGCTTGTAGGAGGAGCATGTATTCAAAGAGAACTTGGTCTTTGGTCTTCAGTTTGTACCAAGTTTTCCTCTGTACCAGCATACTTTGAAAAGGAAAGGTGAGGAGGGTGTATATGCCATAGTAGGAATTGCTGTAATGGATGTGGCATCAAAAGGATGGCTGTGTTGACACTGGAATAAGTGAGATTTTTTGCAACACAGAGACCTGGCAGTGCAGCTCCTCTTCCAGTTCTGGCTGTACAGGGAACTTACATGCAAGACAAAAACTTTCCTAACAGGGTCAGTGAGCACTCAGTGTTCTTATAGAAACTTGTTAAAGGTAACTTTAAGTTCAGGGCACAAGCCATACAATTTTTCTCCCCTTATTCAGTTGCTGTCATAGAAGAACCAAATGGTCATTTCTGTTTGCTGTAGGCCAGAGATTCTTTATTCGCTTCCAAGTCTTAAAAAAAAAAAAAAAAATCAATAAATAATAAAAAATCAATACTGTCATGCTTTGCATGTCGGATAAGTCACTGTTATCGTTTCAAAGCAACGTATCAAAGATAATTTCCTTAGTGACTGACTTTATATTTTCCTCATTCGTGGTGCAGGTTGAGTGACAGGAGTTCTTGTTAACATGTTTGTGTAATTGTCAAATCTGACTTTTTTCAGATATCTGGAAGGAAACCATCTGACTGCTGTGCCGAAGGGGCTCTCTACCTTCAGACACCTGACACTGATGTAAGAAACACGTGGTTTCAATGTCAAGAAAATTACATGACTCTTTCTGCACTATGTTGGAGGTGGAACATAAATAATTAGTATTTGAGGGGAAAAAAAACCCCACAAAACCCAAAAACCTTCTGTAATTTGCGTTTGGAGAGAATTTCACAGTGGCCACTGCTGCCAATAAGTGTTCATAAAGAGTGGAGACAGAGTGAGGTGACTGAGAGCACCAGAGACCCTTCCTCTGCAGGAGCTTCCAGCCTCTGCGAGAGGACTAAGCTCTCGTGCAGGCTGCTACAGTTTCACTTGGCAGATTTATCTGTACAAAGCTGTAAAGGTCATTAACAGAGGAGACGGCATTGATTTGTTCTAGGTGAGGCAGTATTTATAATGTTAAGGCAATGAAAATTTGCATAGCTGTTTCTGCTACGAACAGTCATACAGATAGAGACACAACTAGACTTTTTTCAGTAAATTGCTCCCTGAAATACACAGGAGTGAAATTTCTTGGCTGAACTATTTATGAGAAATTTTCAAATGCTCTTTGAATCAGCTGTAGATCCTCAAGTCAAATGGGCAGAACAACCTCAGACAAAAACAACATGGAGGGGAAAACTGGAATCCTCTGTTTTAAAACAGTATTTTATTTGGAAACATCTCTAATTTTGTTTTTCAAGGGAGAGCAACAACAAAACAAAATGTTCTGTTTGAGCCTAAAAGACCTTTTTTTAAATGAAAAATGAAATTTTGTTCTAGTAGCTGTCAACGTGAAGAACATATGGAAATAATGCAATAAATTGCAAAGCAAGTTGGTACAGTAAATATTCACCCGCGTTTGTATCATCTATTAATTTATCCTTCTTCAAAAATTTTGCTTGTATTCACTGATTTTCTTTTTTTTGAATGTTATATGCTGGAAATATGCCTTAATATTTCTCAGTCTGAAGCTTTTTAGGGGAGTCTGGTGTGCTTTGCTTTTAGAGCTTATTCAAAGGTGCTTAGAAAATATTGTATCAATTGATAATATGTGACCTTTCATTTGCTTCAAGCGTTTTGCTGTGCAGATATTATGTAATCTTCAAAGACGACATTTCTCAATTCATACATATAAATGATATTTTCTCTGTGTGTTTCTTCAGCGATTTGAGCAACAACAGCATAAGCGTGTTGGCCAATTACACCTTCAGCAACATGACTCAGTTATCAACACTGTAAGTAGTCCAAAGTTTTGACAACAGTTTTAATTGCTTTTCAGACACCATCTTAGGTATTGAAGAGTTAGTATATATCTTGTTACTTAAGCATGTGGCTTTCCATGCTTCTTTGTGGTTGAATTAGTGGTGAAATTATCAAAGAAAATACAATGTTGTAACTCTGTTCTCTCATTTTCCCAGCATCTTGAGCTACAATAGACTTCGGTGCATTCCAGTCCACGCGTTCAATGGGCTCAGGTCTCTTCGAGTGCTGTAAGTACCACTTAGTCGATGCAGCTGAGTTGCAGCTTATTAGAATGCTGTTGATGGCAGGGAGGTTTTTAATGAGCAGATGGCTTTCACTTGATTCAGTAGTCATAAATATTTTCAGACAATTAGCTTCAATGTACTTGTACTTAGGTGCAATATGTCTGGTAATGACTAGAGCAGGTGAATGCTAAACTTTGAAAAGAAGCAATTACATATTTGCAGGATGAATGACTTTTCGCTGATAGTTCAGGGACAAGAACTATCATGAAAATAGGCCTCCCAAGAGACTGCATAGAGTCTGTTTGTCTCTTCTACTTGAAAAATGTTTGGGTGCCCCACAGGAAAGGACTTTTCTCTTTGTCTGTAAAAATTTGATCATACTTTAGAATGTAAGTTTCCATTGGATGCTTCAGCAAGAGTGTCTTTAGTGAACACTTGTGCACTTTTAGAATACTTTCTATTAATTTAGATTTCTCAGGCAGCTTTTTACATAAAAGAATGCAATCTGAAGGAAGTAAGTTAGAAGTCCCCACACTAAAACAATGAGTAAGTCAAGCCAGTGGTTGGGCACCAGTAATGCTGAGATGCCCATCTCAAATGTCTTTAAGTTGTGAATGAAATTTCACCTCAGGTTGGCTGGTGGCACACTCAGAGATGTCCATGTGTGGTTTCTTTCTTTGGAGATCCTTTTCTGCACTCTTTCTTTCCAGTGTAGCTGCTTTCAGCAGCTTTCTGGATTGAACAATTTGTTTATAATCTCATCTGAAAGTCATCTTCTTTATATCGTCTTGGAGCGTGGGCTGTGGGCCTGTTCATTCCAGCAAGCAGCCCCCCCCAAGCTTTTCTTAGACACTTGCTAGACTGATTCCTGCTTCAGCCTCGTATTTACTGTCTGTCACTCCCCATCTGCCCCATCAGAAACAAACCCCGAGTTGGGTTTGCTCAGTTATTTCCGTGGACACATGACCCTGTGTGCAGCTGTCAGGACAAGGTGGAGGAGCCACCTTCCTCCCCACCGCCCCGCAACACAAGTGGGTCATCATTACTTGCACAGTAAACTGAAAGCAAGTTAATTAAATGGCTCCTCTGTGATGAGATTATTCAGTGTGCTGAAGGAGAAGGCTTTGAACAGTAAAAGGTCAGGACAGAGGAGTTGAAGAATATGTCCTGAGTGCTTTGAAACTTCAAATTAGTATTTTCTGGGTTTTTTTAAAAGTCAGATGTCATTCACATGCAGAAGCTTCTGGGAATTAAAGAGCAATGGTTGCTGTGCACTGACTCCGTAAGCGTGGAATTACGGTGTCGACATGGGCAGTACTGCAACTGTGGAAGCAATAAGGCAGTGCTGTTTGGCCGAGCTCTTTCACTGTGGTTTGAGTGGTAAAATAGAAATTTAGGTTTCAACCACCTAACTTACAAGACAGCTTTAGATTCCCAGTTTTCATTATTAAAAGCAAGAAAGATACGTGATTTGGAATTGTTGTTTCAAGTTTGGCGTGGGACTCTGATTTCTAGCGCACTAGGATGGTCACATTTGAGCTGTTACATGAGTCCTGAAATTCAGCCACAGATGAATATATTCTGTTTCATGGCCAAATAAATTATTCCATATGGAGCTGTCTTCTGGCCTGCTTCTGACATGCAAACTAGCTTGATTAAAGCTTGTTTGGGACTCTATACCCTGAATTACAGTGTAGATATACCATGCCTCACTCTATTTGTCTTTTCACTTCTGTTCTTGCAGGCCACGTATGGACAGAGACAAAGGGCAATATTTTAATAACAACTGTTATCTTTTGGCTTTTTGAAATGATCTGATAATCAAATTGGAAAAATATCTTCCTCCTTCAAGGGAGAAGCCCTTCCTGTCTTGCAGAGAGCCGCACGAGTGTAAGGAAGCCTAAATGGGAATCTTTGCCGCTGCTCCATGCATTTGGAAGCGTCCAGATTGATTTGATTTATTATGGCCCACAAAACTCTAGTATCAGCTACAACTTTTGCCACGTCATCTATGTTGTTATTAAAAATCAATCCTCCAGAGAGAAAATGGCTTCCGAGTGACAGTGTGCAATCTATTATTGTCAGTTATTTATTACCCATATTCTCAGGGGAGTTTAAAAGAGAAAATATCAGCAAAACAATTTCCACATATTTCTTTTTTTAGTAAAAAGAATATAGAGATCTCACCTTTAGCTGTGCATGCCTTTGAAGGTAGCAGACCCTTCTCATACAAGCTTCTGTGTCTTCCAAATTCCTCATGTTTTCTTTACTTTTTGCCTCTCTATAGTAAATAAAGTGAATATGTATTTGAAAATCAGAATAATCATAGATGTATGATGAAGTTGATCTTCGCCAGATATCTGGTTCTGTCCTCTCTCTCTTATACTTTTCAACACAAGCCCAACTGAGAAAACCGCAGAGTCAACATGTTTATGTTTAAGACTGAACATGTAGCAGCGTTTACACAGTCAGGCCTTTAATCTTCAATCTTCACATGGCTTATCCATAATGGCAGCCAAAGCGTGCTGGGGAGCAATTTCAACATTTCAATTAAGATTTTTTTTTAATAAGCAAAAGTTGATATCAGTAGGTTTTTGCACCAAAACTATTGCATTGAAAAATTGTGGGTTTGTTTTTTGGTTTTGTTTTGGGTTTTTTGTTCAAAGCTAGTCTTTTTAGAAGCTAAATGTAAACAGATTTAAAAAGCTGAGATTGAGATGAAGTAATTATAAATATTAGAACTCTCTGGTTGTCCTGAACTGATTATTTTAAAGATTATTTTTATTGTGTAACAATGTTATAACTTCTGACATTTTGTCCGGATTTAATTAAGAGGCAAAGTGCAGAAAAAAAAATATTTTCTCAGATCACTAAACAATTTTGCATGTTATATTTATGAAAAAAATGATAAAATGAGCTACAGAATATTCTACTAACATGAGATATTCTAGTTTTACTGAAAACTCATGGATATTTACTGCAGTTCAAAGCTCACACAAACATAGTAATATGTGTGATGATAAAGCTACCACAAATACTCTCCAGGCCCAACTTTGGAACCAATTTTTGCAATATACTTTCATTGTTGGATGCTGTACTGAAGAAATATTATTCGGCTTTGTTTCTTTTTTTTTTTTTTCCCCTATCGCAGAATGACGACTTGTGCTTATCCAGTAAATCTGCACAAGGTGCTGTTGTTACGAGCGTTAAGCAGTGACACTGTGGCTTCCCACTTCCTCTGACATGAGAGTTGTGTTGGTTCCTGCAGGGTTTGGCATCCTTTGGGGCTCATTGTAGGTGTTTGCCCCTGATGCGATGTGGCTTTGTAAGCTCAGCCAAGCTTTTAGCCACATTTCTGTCTTTACAGGGTAGATCATTGTTTACTGAAAAAGCATCCCCTTTCTGTCTATAGTAAGCTAATGTTGAGACAAGGAGGCAGGACTTGGGAACAGTTAGTAAAAAAAAAAAAAAACCACAACAAAAAAAACCAACCCAAAAGGATATGTTTAGTTCATTTCCTTACCTAAAGACAAAGTAATAAGTTAGTGAGATTACATGTAGAAGAAAGTTTTTATTTCAGGAATTCAAGTGTGTTGTTATCTCTGCTCTGAGAGGAGATCCCCATCACCTTAAATTCATACCCCTGCTGTTTACTAATTTTTAGACAAGAGGATGCTTAGAAGTTGTGCTTTTAAGGGAGAACACACACATCAATGTGTGTGCTTTAACTGTCCAAATGCTTTAAGATTTTATTTGACTATTTGCTTATAAGGATTTATGGTATAAAAATGTGTTCCTGTTGTTGACCCAAGAGGAAGAAGATTTTATTGCACTGTTGAATTCTCTTGCCACTATTTATTATTGTGGGGTTTTAAGTTTTTTCGCACTTATCATTTCATTTTAGCTGCATGGGTGATGACGTTGCTGACGTGATTTTTTTATTAAAATGCAGGCATTTGCATCCATGAAACATACCTCAGTGTTTGAGATATGTAGTCAAGCCATTCATTCCAAATGGTTTTATATTTTTGATGGTTTTACCTTCTTACAGATAAATGGCTTTGTCATTCTTTAGCTTCTCTTGGAATAAGTTTCCAAGACATCTAAGAAAGAAAATGCACCCCTTCACAGGATAAGCACAACTGATATGACATGAAGATAAATATAAGTTCTGCTGTCTGTTCAGAGACAATTGTCTTGCGCAGCTTTCAGTAGTTTAAAAGATCAGAATATAAGCTCATTATGAGTGTCTGCTTATTTAAATATGCTCATTTCATTGAAGGAGGGAACATTTTGCTGACAAGTTATTGACGAGGCCTGATCTTGCATCCTCATAGCAACAAAAATACTCCTTATTTAGTAGCTGTGGGGTATGTCTCAGTCAGTTGGTCATTCTGTATAGAATTAGTGAATGTGCTTTATCTGGAGTTACTGTGTGGGAGCTCATATCCTTCCTGTTCCTGTTCAGATTAATTGCTTGGAGATCCATCCTTATATATGCCAAGTATTATTATTAATAGCCAAAACCTAGGTATGCTTAAAAGAAAATTTCAGAATCAGGATGTTGGAAGGGGAAGTTTTTGGTATACTGGCATCAAGAATTGGAGAGGGATGCCAGCAGGATAACTCTGCTGTAGTTTTTGTGGTTTCATGCTCTGTAGAAAAACTTTGCAGTACAATAGATAGAAACTGCAGCTGCAATGAGCAGCTGTGAAATGTGATCGTGGTAACATTGCTTATACTCACATAGTTCACAGCCCCATGGCAGGGCCCAGGCTCACGGGAGACAGGACAAGGTGTATCTTCCTCTGGCAAGTTTGGCTTTCCTTGCTGTGTATGCTGGTGTAAGGCAGTATGTAAAGGTAGAATTCATAAGAGTTTTAAAGCATCATGTAGATCCTGGTGAAGGTTCTAGTGGTGTTTGCGTGGAGAAAGGGAAGAAGGGATGCAAAAAGAGATGCTTTTATTTTCATCTGGGGCTATTGTGTGTTTCCGTGGGCCCAGATGTTTGGTTTGTTTTAAACAAACTCAATGTGCACCGTTTCAAGCATTTGTACAGTCACAAAAAATAAAAAATAAGATGTGATTGCTGTGTTCCGCAAATCACCAGGTAAGTTAGAAACTAAATGACTTGAGGGA